CAAGGGTGAAACTGAAAACGCGAAGCGGAAAGGAGGCATGCTGTTTTCTTTACAGACCAACCAGCGAGGAAAAGGGCTGGCTTGTGCTTCTCATGACCCCTGTGCACACCGCACTGCTTTCGATGTCTTTCAACGTAGTGTCGGGGTTCATCGCAACCTTTTGCCACACGAATAGAGAGATTTAATTAACGCAAAAAGGAAAAGGATAACGGAGTGATTAACCAGGACGCATTGACACCACACCCAACGTCTCATGGAAATCACTAGTGCAGCCCTACCCTACGCAGCAACAAGCTTACCAGCCTATCTCAGCAGTCAGCACTGCGGATCTTGAAGAATGCGTTTCTACTCTCCTCCATCGGTCCTTACACGTTTCACTTATCCAGAAGTTAAATTATTTTAAGTTTGCATGAGTTTATAAAAAAATAGTATCAGCATTTTTATCTCTAAATAATTCTTGAACATATATATCACTATTTAATCTATCTAATGATACTTATTACACAACATAAATATTGATATATTTTATATATTTAGTCACCGGCCACCCAGTATCGCCGGAGCAGCTCGCTTTAGAAGGCCACCTCAACCGTCGAGTCGTCGACAAAGGCGATGGCTAGCTCATGTGCTCACCTTGTCGACCGGCCTCGTCAATCCCTCTCGACTTCCGCGCCATCGGTCTAGAGGGCCAGCAAGCAAGAGGTCAAGGCGGGGTGGGCGAGGATGGGCGACGGCCAGCGGCCATGGCGTGCGCGCGAGGACAAGGCTGGCACGAAAAGGCTGGCGGAATTATTGTTTTTCTAATCTAATGATTATAGTAGCGGGTCTTCTTTGCCTTTAGGTCGGACCTCTTTTTTTTCACGATAAAGACTTTTTGCTTAGGGTCACGATAAAGACCGGCTCTGTTGTTTGAGACCGACCTGAACGAGATTATGACCCCTGCTTTTGCAACACTCCGGATGCGAGCAACGCCGTAGCCCGTAGGTGCTAACTTCAGTAATACCCTAGCAGGCCTGCTTTGAATGCAGTAACCAACTAGCAATTACAAGAAAATGAAACACAGCTTTCACGTATATAATATAATATATTCTGACATCACATCATACTATCAGTGAGAATGAAGCTCTGCAATGGTGTTATCCTGATCTCCTATTTAATTGCTGTTTTCACCCTGTCCAAAATACCTTCCTGAAATTGTCATCAGTATATTCAGCATTACAACCTCATCGTCCATCTCAGTCTTGGTGGCAAGGATGGTGGCGCACTTGCGCAGCAAGGACCTCAGTGAGGCACACGTCTCCGCGTCCAAGGGGGTGTGAATGGCAACACAGAGTGCAAAGAGCCACAGGCAGTTATTCCTTGATAGTGTATCCAAGCTTTGAATCATATCAATGTAGTTCCTAAGTGTCGCAGCTCTTGAAACTGCATCCATGTTGCGAATCATTGTCAGGGACGGTTCCTAAGTGTGACAGCCTGTTCGCTTGCTCGTAAACGATCGTAAATTTCCAGCCGGAAACAGTGTTTTTCTCTCACACCAAACCAGCCAGCAGTAAATAATCCACGATACGATACGGCCTCCCGAACAGGCTGTCAGTCTGTGGCTCCGATCTGTTGCCAGGTTTTGTTGAGATTTTTGTCGCACTAGATGCAGATGGTTCATCAGAATTGTCAAGCTCAGAGAGCACCTGAGGAAATTAATAATCTCATATAATTAGTAGATGCTGTGAAGAAGGTAAATATGCAGAAGATGGTAGCTAAATTAAGTCAAGCATTCAAATTGAAAAACCAGTAAGTTCAAGTCATTGCATATAAGAAGAAAGAATCTTTTTGGTGTCATACTGGATTGGAGATTTCTATAAATATGATACTATACCAGGTAACAATAATTTATTAAATGGCAGTCTCAAGAAAAAGAAAAAAAGGCACTGCAAACTAGGGAGTACTCAAGTTCCAAGAGTAACTATAGTATGGTCATACTAGCCCTTGCATCATAGAAATCCTACTGACGGTACAATTGTTGGCTTGATGACGGTACCATTTATTTAATATGCAGACAATACAGATTAAGGCCCTGTTTGTTTTAGCATGCAGATTGTGGATTGCATCTAAGAGCAAACATTCACCATTGTATCATACAAAAAGCAAGCAAACTGTAAAAACAAACATTAGAATAAAACATACTGCTAGTGTGATAAGGCATTCTATCAGTACCATAGCTGTCAGATTTTCAGGATGCACTTTTTTTAACACTTCCCTTCCTAAGAACAAAGGATACCCATTGCCCCATCATGAAAATAAAGTAATTTATGTGACAACAGAACAAACCATACAGTAATAACATACAGAATTATTCCAACATAGGTTATAGATAAGAAAAGAAGTGTTCGTTGCCAAATGAAATAACATATTGAATCATAAGACATGTTTGCAATTGCTCTAGACTTGTGCCACTAAAATTTAAGGGTCAAGTGTCCAACAAAATAGTAAAATATGTCAACAAGTTCTTTTATAAAAAAATGGTATGCCAACAAATTAAGAAGCAATATTACAATCATTAGGGTGTTGTCTTTACGAAGGTAATTATGAGAAATAGAAAACAAAGCTGAAATGTGGTTATAAATATTTGCATCTTTTAAACTACACAAGATAGCTTACCATCCTGGTCTCCGCGAACTGGGTGATAAATGTGTCCTCCCATTGTTTTGATGCACGCAATTCAGGTAAGCACTTTGGTATGTCCGGAATATCTGGCATATAAGGAGTTTGCTCATTTCTAGCTGCACTTGAATATATCTTGGCTACCTTCACTCTAGGAATTTGGTTAGCTTCCCACCTGTAAACCAATGTTTTCATGCCACAGTCAAAGTAATGTTTTCGGGTAAGCCAATTGATGATCACGAGAAGTATATCTAAAAAATAATAGAAAACTGAGGTCCCCAACTTATATATTGTTGGGTTCAGCTTTAGCTTAATAGCTTCACAAAATGAACTGCCGATATTTCTATCTGGTAGGTAGGTTTGGGAGATCCTATTTAGCAAATATAACTAGTCATAGTTTGACATCCTATTTTCTAACCATTAGTTCATTTGGTAAACTTCACCAAAACAAGCTAGTATGGAGAAATCCTAGTAATCAAATATCACTTTACTATAATTCACATTTGTTCATATGTTGAAGTCACAGTGAGTAAACCTAATTGCAAGAGATATTGATATTACTAAGGGCATGTTCGCTTGAACTTATCAGCCGGCTTATCAGTTAGAATCTACAATATTTTTTTTCACAACAAAACAGCTTCAGCAAGCTTATTAGCCGGCTTTAATACCAGCCGAACAGACCAGATGTTTCTTGCGTTGCATATCGATCCGTGAGTCGTATACTGATGTACTATATGGGTATTGTACACTGATGTATGTGGCTCGACATTTCATGATTAATTTAATACAAGTACACCGCAACGGAGTTCTGTGGATACAGAGCCGGGCTCACGCTGTTTAGCTTAGGTGAGTTCACGCCATAAAAAAAATAACACTCCAAGCTAGTATAATAACTGAATTCAAGTGGTCGTTTGCACCAATTTTTCTTAAGTTTTTTACTAAATTTGTCTGGCCTGCCAATGTCCGCCAAGTCTCAATCAAAACAGGTCCTAAATACACTCGGCCCGTTATAAGATCCAACGCCCACAACTGCTACTCCTGTGTGTGTGTGTTGGGCTTGGGCTTGGCCCAATATAAAATTCTCAATAATTCTAAATAAATCTTAAATGTTACCAATCGAGTGTTTCTAGCACTTCTAGCACTCGATTGTTGGGTCAGCCAAAAATAACCAAATCTTCGTTCATAATCTGATGGTCAAACAAATCTTCATTCTGATTTAAATAAACATATAAAACAAAACAAATAGCCAGATTAAATGAACCAAATAAAATTTTCAAAATAATGCAAATAAATAAATAAACAAAACAAGACAGAAATAGTCAAATTATTTCTATGGAAGCCAAATTGAAAGATTTCAAAGGAAAACCAAATAAAACATACAGAAAATCAAAAAGCAAAAAAAAATCAGATAACTGTTCAAGTAATTACGAACAATCAATTCACACCAGTTGAAAATATAACTTAAACCCAAACCAGAACAGTAAAATATGGTTCAATGAGATGTAATCTATATATATTAACTCTAATAAGTCTTGTATAAATTGATAGTAACTATAATATTTTCAACAAACACAACTTCGAAGAAGAAAGGGAAATGGAAGAAAAGGAAAGGAAAGGAAAGGAAAGGAAAAGAAAAGAAAGAAAAGAAAAATTCCTGAGAACAATGGATCTGTCGTGAAGGCCGTGGTGGCGAGCGGCAATCACCAATTTTTCTGTCCGAAAAAAAGAAGAGAGAAGCAAATCCAATGGCCTGGATGGACTGGCCGTCGAATCTTACAAAAGAAAACAATAGAGTGCTGAGAAGTCTTGAAACACTCGAGTATAGTTTAGATTTCCCGTATGAAAACCCTCTACACTTCATGAGTGCTAGTGTAGGAAGAAAGGAAACCAATGCGCCACATCAATGTGGATGGGTTCCCCTATATTCGTATGGGACTTCCCTATATATAATATAAACAATATAGACACAAATAGACACTGATGTTGCTTAATTTAATAATATTTTTTTATCAAGTTTGTGAAAAGGGATTGTTTGGCATGGTTCCACGACACAGCCGCAAGAAGTTGAAGCGAGCCGTTCTAAAGAGGGTCTAAAAGAAGCTTCAGCTTTTTACCGTGGGCTGGTGGCAATAGAACATGAAAATCAGATTGAGCTCCAACAAGTTTTTTTTTTTGAGATATAGATCATTTTTTTTAGATCAGTTTTTTTTTAAAGGAGAACGATCAGTTGCTAAATTGATCCACAGAGGAAACACATAGTAAGGGAATGGGCCAAAATAGCCTGGCAGTACGCACTCGGCCCATTCCAATCCCGTGACGTACTCCACCACGCCCAACTTGCCATGGCGCTGACGTCGCCCCCCTCCGCGTCGGCTCCGGCCTCCGCCGGCGATCGATGGCCGCCGCTGGAGTCTACTCCCGAAGTTTTCAATCAGGTACCCCTCACTCTCCTTCCTCCGACCATCAATTCGATGATCCGCTCGTTCCTCTCTGACCTCTCCGCGGCGTCGGCGCGCGGGCGGCAGTTCATGTGGTCGCTAGGCGTCCCGGAGCACGACGTGGAGTTCCATGATGTGTACGGACTCGACGCCGACGCGTTGGATATTGTTCCCCAGCCTGTGCTCGCCGTTGTTCTCTGCTTCCCCGATCCACCACAGGTGCGCTTGACCTTTCTGTTTTCCCAAATCAGGGAAGCACGTACATTGCCAAATTGAACAAGCTCCAGTAACTCGATTTTGGAGGAGATTAGTCCCCCAATCCTGTAGCCATTCACGAGTATAAATAATTGCTTAGAGGAAACTGTAATTGCAGGACAAGCAAAGGTGAGGCTACACCTGTTGGAGTGCAGTTTCACCAAGCCTCACATTTGATTGTGCTGTATAAGTGTGTATCCCCCAGACGAGGTGACAGTAGTGACTGCTGGTAGTGTTGAGTAATGACCAATGAGTACCTAAACAATTTTTACTATGTTGCATGTGTCTTTAAAAAATATATATATGCTGCATATGTAACCCAACTCATCCAAATATACGAGTGTGGCTCTTTTAATGTGGAATGCACATATAGAAGTTGTTTTTGTATTTATGAGCTTAGTAAGGGAGTTTCAGTTTTTTACTGAGGTGCGCTCTTGTTCCACTGCAGGATGCAAGTTACCCTTCAGAACAACTCTTATTTTCTGGAGAAAAGGTGAACAATTGTGTTCCTTGTAGATGCCATTTTTTCCATTCCTCTTCATATCCCTTTATTGTGCATGGTGTTTCATGCTGCCTTGTGTAACACAGGAAACACAGGACCAGGTTTACTTTATAAAACAGATTGAATCATTGGGAAATGCTTGTGGAACTGTTGCTCTACTCCATGCTGTTGGAAATGTATCTTCAGAAGTCAATTTAGGTAACCTGAAACAATTATATGCAGCACACAGAATTCTGTAAGATGATTGTAATCTTTCTTATTCTCTCCTTGTTCCTGGATTGAATTAACCTATCTGGTCTTTTGTAGTGGAGAATTCATGCTTGGACTTGTTCTTCAAATCAACTTCTAGCATGGACCCATATGAGGTTCTTGTTTGTTTTCTCAAATGCATGCTCATTACCAGGATACCTTGATCAGTCTTGCAGTTTTTTTCCCTTATATGGTTATGCCTCATGCCATGTTTTCCAGCATGCTGTGTGTCTGGAGAAGGATGATGCCATGGCAAGGGCTCACTCACTGGTTGCCAATGCTGGTGTCACAGAGGTACTGGTTTTTCTGCATATGTGAACCGGAATTCAATCTGGAAAACATCGAAGAATAAGAACTGTCGAATGTAGTGCTATGCACTAAATACAGTTAATGATGTTCCACTATATTTTTCTTTAGTTAGTATAGTTTCAAGTTCTGAGCTGAACTGGCTGTGTGCATTGACAGAAAAGTAATCATGAAGCTTAAACTTGTGATTCTACTTTATATAGATAGAATGAAGCATTGTTATGGTTATTGTTTTCTTCAGCTGAAAATAGATAAATAATTTTGTTACAGGCCATACACATGAAATTCATCAGTGTATTTCAACCTGATTTGTCCCCAACTGAAAATAAGGAAAAAATAATAGCCAATTTTTTTTCTGTGATTTATTTTCTCATCATTTTGTCAATTATATCTAACCACAAGACTGGCCTTTGTTTGGCAGCTCAGTGATCTTGTAGAAGAGCACTACATTTGTTTTGTGTCTGTCAATGGTAAGGCGAAGTCTTTGACAGCGGCTTTTCACCATCCATTTCTCTGTTTTTCATGTATTTACACATCAATAAGGAGCTAAATCGGGTTGTAGGAACACTTTATGAGCTTGATGGGATGAAGGATGGACCTATAAAGCACAGATCCTGTTCTTCTATAAGTTTGCTGCAGGTACTGCAAGGTTGAAGTGGTTCCTTTTTTTTTTCTTGTTTTCCACATCCTTTTCCATTTCCTTAAACTGGTTGCTGAAACTGCTGACAGTAAAGCTCAAAGGAAATGGCTGATGCTTATTAGAATTTCCCATTATAATATAGCCTACAATGACCATTTTATTGCACCAGGATGTTGTTCCTGTCATTAAGGCCATCATGTGCAATATCCCTGACTCAATCAACTTCAATCTTATGGTGCTGTCAAGGAAAGAAAAATAATGCTGGTGTTATTCTTTAAGCCGGTAAGCGATGGAATGCAAAAAGCTAGGGTTCAAGGAAGGGGATTAAACAGATGCCTGTTTGTACTGTAGCTGCGATACTGTTGTATACTCCCCATTCTGCATGCACCCTCTTAAAGGTACAATTTCAGACGACATCCAGCCATTTTTCCTTGTTAGCAGCAACATTCAGTCTAATCATAAGTTCAGTGAATGCAAACTGTTTCAATTATCTGCTCGTTTAATTATTTTTTCCTGATGTGTTTGCTATCAGATCTAGTTGATTGCTTGACTACATTCATTTTTAGTCATTGGAAAGTATCTGAAAACTTGTCTCAGATTTGCTTATCAAGCCTGACCAACACCCATCCTTACTCTGGTTCTGCCCCTACAGGTACAAGTTCAGACACAGCTGACGCCTTAGCCTCCAGTAGTTATCTTTTTCTTTTAGTGGGAGCCAATGCAAGTATGCAACGTCCTGCCTACGTGCATGCCTATTACCTAACTAGTACTCCCTCCGTCCTGATGTTCTAGGACTCAAAAATGTCCCAAAAAGCTTGATGTTTTAGCTATTGGACAATAGATTTGGCCATATCAGCTTGAAATTGTGGTTTGCATGCCTCCATATATTCCTTTTAATGAGGGGCTTATTGCTTATTCCTTAATGTAGTCTTTTGTCAAATAACAGCCCAAACTGATCTCGACTAGTGTCAATTAAACATGTTGATTTGCCAGAGAATACTGGAAGTATCCACATTCATTGACACTTAAAGGAGATCAGTTTGATTCTGAGGCGAAATGGTGAATACATCCAAATACCTTTGGACTTTGGTTCACTTGCACAAGATCTAGATGGCGCAAATATCTTATTTGAAGGACTGGCTTGGCGTAAGAGACATAGTACTACTGATATTGCCATCATGCAGCTACAGTTTTAATGGTTGAGTACATGGAACAGGCCAGAATAAAAATTCCTTTATCTACAAAACAGTTGCAACTTTTAAAACGTACCAAGGTGCCGCTGGACTTCACTCACTGTTTTTAAGTAATAGAACCAGCTGGTAATCTGCTATCCAATAGTACAGAGAAATGCTATGTACATCAACTTTTTTCTCCTTTCTTGTTTCTTTTAGCCAATGGCTTTGTTCTCATCCTCCATACAGTATAGTTTCTGGTTAGCCACACTGTTTATAGCAGATATATAAAACAACTCCCACTTGAAGTTATCATGAGAAAAAACAAATACAAGTAGCGTCCCATGCTCTGGTAGCTCACCAGCTTGTCGTCGCCAGGGTGCGTTACTATCGGAAAAGGGCTATTTTGGAAGCTACCGCCGACAGGAGCCGTGGACCAAGCCGGTGAGCCCCTCCTGCCTCCATTCATCTCTGCGGCAGATTCATGCCTGCAACTGTCCAAGACAATTGGATATAAATTACATTATCTGTGATGGAAACCCTGAAATCAAAGACCACTGCAACTGTCCGAGACACTTGGATATAAATTACATTATCTGTGATGGAAACCCTGAAATCAAAACCACGATGATTTCTGTTGTCATGGGAACATGGCTGATGGAAAAGGGGTGTGGATAGATAGGAGCTCTGTCCGTTCAGGAAAGAGTGGTTACAGGATTGCATCAGACCTAGTGGCAGAGGTTTCTTTGCCCTCCTCGTTAGGTGTCGTCTAAGGTGTGGTAGTTTGTGTCGTTGTGTGCTCATATTGTGAGAGGTTTGTTTGTTGGCAAAGTTATCTTAGACTGTCTCTTCTTTCTGGTCGTAATGAGTTCACTTGATTCCACTTGTTGCATTGGCTTGTTTGGTTCTGAATGGGAGCTTTACTAACTGACGTCAAGATTACATTCCTTGGTCACTAATTTAGGACTTAGTTTTGACTTTGGATTTCAAATTATCTTTTATAATAACAAAATTAGCTGATTTAGATGCAAATTTATGGGATATTTTAAATTATCTTTTACAGTGGCAGAGGTTTGTAATTTAGATAAAGATTTATGATGTTATTTTAAATTATCTTTATATGGACATATGTGAGTAATTTTTAAGCAAATTTATGAGACTAGTTTATGTAATTCTCATAACGGCAAAGCTGGATAATTATTTAGGAAACAAAATTATTCAACTGTTGTTATTAGTGATGATGATACCTATAAGATTACTATGAGAACTCTCATTATTTATCTTTTTTCTTAGCGTGTCTTGAATTTGGATGCACTGGATAATACAGGTAGTGTGACAATGCCAATGTGAGCATTATACAGTGATAGTGAGAGCGAATAGGTCTCAGGAAATTGTGATAGATTGATATGGGTACAGGGAGTACAATATATAGGCAAGGATCAGGAAGGGTTTATAGAAACACCCAATCAATGGTGATCCTTAGCTAACCAATAATCATCTACCATAATCCCTAGAGGCAGCCCAGCCGATAGGCTTGGGCGCCAGGCCCATGGCCAGCCCATAAGCCACCTATTCTAACAGATAGGAAGATACTCGTTTCACTTCTCATTATTACCCGTATGTGTACTTCCCTCAGGTACTAATAGATACAAGTTAAATATGTATGATCCTCCCTAATTTAGTATCATTGACGAGAGGAGTTTTTACATTTGCAGCACCTATCTGAGGCAACTGCACTTGATAGTGGGTTGTACCATATAGCATAGAGATCACTCGTGGACGTCTATCGATCCAGCTGAATGACACCCAAAATGCGCTTTAGAGATAACTGTGCACTCTTTTTCTCCAACTAAGAATGCAATTAAGCTGCATGCGCTCTGGTGCAGCAGATCCACCTTTACAGTCATTATTCATCTCTGCCGATCTTGAGGCTCTCAACAAACCTCTTGTAACTGTTCGTGTTGGACAGCAGGAAGTCAAGGAAGTCCTGGAAGCTGCTTCCCCTATACATTTCCGGGTGCTGCTCGCTGATCAGCTCCTTGGCGCAGCGCACCTTCTCATCCATGGAGAGGCCATGGATGCTGGAGATAGAAATCCTCGGCTCGTCAGGATTGAGGATGGCCCGATGGACGAGGGACTTGAGCTGACCATTGCTCAGAACTTCCAGGTTGTCTCCGACGTGGACATGGAGGGCCCCAGAGATAGCGGGGATAGCCGTCCACGTGACGTCGTCATGGTGCATCACTTCAAGCCCCGTGGAGCTCTGCAGAAGGATGGTGATGAAGCCATAGTCGGAATGGGAACCCAGTCCGACGTCGACGTCGTCACCTCGGTGTGCGAATTGTGGATACTTGTTCAGGGCTAGGAACTGCACTCCGTTCTCCAGTTTCTCTTGCATGTATGATGGTCCTAACCCAAGGCCTTGCAGAATAGCTTCCATGATTTGCATCGACACTCTTTGTATTTCAACGGCATACACCCCCATCTTCTTCCTGGTGGAACTTTTTTTTCAATATAAAAATGATATTTGGTTGCAGACTAAGGTGCACTTAATAATTTATTGATGGACTACTGAATGTAGGGATTGCGAAGGTTACCTGTATGCTGGTGGGTCCACCGGCCAGAACTGAACCCAGTCTTCCAGGGGATTAGCATAGTGTTTCAGGAATGACCTGGCCACGCTGATCCCATCCCTTGAGCTCGTGTCGTACCTGATAGGCTGTTGGATGTCGAGTGAAGCAAACTTCTCCTTGTGTTCTTTGGGAAGTGCAAAGAATTCTAAGGCAACTTCGAGGGCCTCCTTCATGACAGACATGCTGATGCCGTGGTTTACGACCTGTCAGTGTCAGTGCAAAGGTATGTAACTCGGCCTTCTTGGTTCAATGAAATTGGCACTATCCTGTGCCAATTCGTAAAAAAAAACTTCGAAGTTTCAACATTGGCGTTCCAGTATCTGGAAATTATTCGACATGCACTTTGTTCATTTGTTTTGTTCTTTATTTATGTAAATTTAGTGGTTCATGAAGATTAGGAAATTAGTTCACAACTTGGATAGTCTGAGTTCAGATAAAGTGGAACTTCGGCCAAGAGTGTCTGCAGCAACTTGAAGTAGGATCTAATTACTACTGAAATTGAACAAGGACTAGACTCATCAGGACACCATGATCAGTAGTACGTAGTAAATTTACTCTTAGTATGATTGGCATTTAGAGCCTGTTTGGTTGCCTGCCACGGCTCGCCACGCCGCAGGTTCACCAGCGCCGCGGCTGTGTGGCGTAAAAAAATGGCCGCCACACGCCACACTCCGTCACAGAGCAAAACGGCATGCAGCAGAAGCAAAACGACGGCTGTGGCTGCCGATGGTTACACGACAAACAACCAAGCAGCGGCCCAAGTCGCGGAGCTTTTGACGTCCAAACACGCCCTTAAGCCATCGGCCACGTTAGTTCCGCATGACGTGCACGTGCATGCTTGGCAGCCTTCCCTTTAGCTGATTCATACAGCGGCCAGCGCAGCTGGAGTTCACTGTCACGGTCAGTGAACAAGTGCAGCGAGCGAGCGAGCAAGCACTGACCTGAAAGCATCCCTGGTCGCGGCACGCCCGCGCAATGTCCTGGACGGCAAGCACCCTCGTGGCCTGGTCCTTGCTGAGCCGGCCAAAGTTGATCACCGGCGGCGACCCTCGTTGTGGCTGCAGCTGGCTCGCCATTCGTGTCCGTGAGTACACGCGTGTTCTGATGCTCTTCTCTGGAGCAGCCCCACTGCTGCACAGGTGCACCGCCGAGAGTGGTATTTATAGGCAGTTAGGCACTGCTGATCGCTGAACAAACAAGCTGAAACACTCTTCTTTGGAGCGGCTCCGTTCGCTTCGCTAAAAAAAAAACTGAAACACTGTTCCAGCTGATTTGTTGTGAAAGAAAAATGCTGTTTTAGCTGAAAAGTCAAGCTGAAAAATACGGATTATAAGAGAAGCGAATATGCCATCAGTACAACAGAGCAGGGGCAAGTGCAGCAGCAGCACGGGTGGCTGGATGGCAGCCACGTGGCCGAACCGCCCACTGTGCAGATCGCCAGAACCCTGTACGCTGCGCTGCAGTCCTGCCTTCGGGAACCTACACGACAACTGAGCCCATGTTTAGTTGAGTGAATTTTGAAATTTTGGTTACTGTAGCACTTTTATTTTTATTTAGAAATTAATGTTTAATTATGGATTAATTAGGCTTAAAAGTTTCGTCTCGTAATTTTCAACCAAACTGTACAATTAATTTTTTTTTTCCGTCTACATTTAATACTCCATACACGTATCGCAAGATTCGATGTGATAGATATTGTAGCATTTTTTGGAAAAAGTTTTTGTAACTAAACATGGGCTGAAAACATTCTGGTCGGTGGTCCTGTGGAAGACCGTGCTTTGATTGGTGCACCGCACTGGCCGCTTGCGAGCAACGCGTTACAGATATTTCCTCCCCCACGTGTGCGCATGCTCTTATGGTTCTTGTGTCCTTTTGATTCGATATATGCTATGACCGGTCACCCTGTTTGTTACTACACATTTCATGTTTACCACTATTTTTTTAGATAAGGGAAGTCACGCTGTAAATATTCATAAAGTGATGTTTCTTCATTGTCTGGCCGAGTTAAACGTACTTATCTGATGTACATCCTAATAAATAACTTGCTATGGTAACATCAACGTCCACAACTTTGTTTTGCTACTCGTAGTTGGTTTTTTTTAATAATAAACAACTCCAACTGATACTATGACATTGTTCATATATAGTTTATGGAACAAAAAAATTGATTTAGATGCTCTAATTTGTTTAGAGTTTTACTCAACTTAAACAAATTGATCTGGAAGCTAAAGGCCCCATTGAAAATTAAGAAATCCCTTTAGTATCTTTGCTAATGTAACTAGTTTGGTTCTGATATGCAAGAGAAAATATGCAACCAAACATTACTATTTTTTAATAAGTTTTGCTGTGATGTAATCCTATCAGATTTGTATATATAATGGGGGGGAAAGAAAAGAAAAGACTTGTTTAGTCAAGAACCGTCACACGCGCATGGTGTGGCCACGGAGGAGGGAGGAGGCGGGTGCTGAACCTAGTAGTATTGAAACATGGAAACTGAAATTTGTTTTTCAAAAAATAACAGGAGAGTGGCACGGAGGCAAATGTCACGAGCTCACATGTCACATGCTTGTCGATCTCTCGCACTCATATTTTTTCATAATCTGCTTTGTTCCTTGAAAATAGAAGAAAGACTCATGTTTGCGTATGCGGTCGAGAGTAATCGAGGACAAAGCGAAAACAGAAGAGGATGCAACATGTCTGAGTATGTGGTTGAGAGTAATCGAGGACAAAGCGAAAACAGAAGAGGACGCAACATGTCGGCGTATGCGGTCGAGAGTAATCGAGGACAAAGCGAAAACAGAAGAGGATGCAACATGTCTGCGTATGTGGTTGAGAGTAATCGAGGACAAAGCCAAAACAGAAGAGTAATCGAGGACAAAGCCAAAACAGAAGATGACGCAACATGTCTGCACAGAAGAGGATGCTCGTTTGTGGTCGAGAGCAATCTAAGACAAATCGAAAAACAGAATGTGTAAAAAAACAATATAAGGCCTCGTTTAGTTCGGCCAGAATCGGCATTTGCACCGTGTTTGATGTGACGGCAAACACTGCAGCAATTCGTTTTTGTATTTGTGAATTATTGTCAAACATTGACTAATTAGGTTCAAAAGATTCGTCTCGCAAAGTTCAACCAAACTGTGTAATTAGTTTTTATTTCATTTACATTTAGTACTCCATACATATATCACAAATTTGATGTGACGGAAAATCTTTTTTTTTTCATAGTGTTAAAGTTGGAAGTTTGGGAAACTAAACAACACCTAAGAAAAAAGGAGAATGCAAGATAAGGACAGCGGCAAGAGCACATGCACAGAAGGGTCACTGTCACTAGTTTGCTTATAGTTTGAGACAAACAGCCTGTTCGTTTTTCTGATTTCAGCCAGTCCAAACCAGCCAACCAATAGTATTTTTCTCTTATAAAAGAACTAAACCAGCTAACCCAAATCAGCACCAGCACCAACCAGCTATCAGGCCCAAAGAAGAGAACGGTCATGTCTGGGAAAGAAGGAGAGGAGATCAACATATTGACAAGGGGGCACGCCATGACTCAGCATAGCCTGAGGCCAGAAACAGCCACCGGGAAGAAGAAGCTGTAGAATACACATACACGTGGCAAAAGGAGGAGTCGAGGAGATATCACGAAACGAAACAGAAGTCTTATAGTATCCTCCGTTTCAAATTATAAATCGTTTTAGCTTTTCTAATTACGTAGTTTTATTATACATCTAGACATATCTATATTTAGATATATAGGCCCCGTTCGCGTGCCCTTAAACTCGGCTTGATCCGCTTCTTTTTTTCATCCGGAACAATGTTTTGCTCTCACAAGTTCCTCAAGAATTTCTCCAAACCATCCAAATTCCTCCGAACCATACCATCCGAACGGGACCGTAATTTTTACTATATATCTAGAAAAGTCAGAACGACTTATAATTTGTAACGGAGAAAGTACGTACTATGTGAGAATTCTAAGAGCAACTCTAATAGGGCCCCTACTAGCGCATCGAAATTTAGGTGGGCACCCAAATGCACCCCCAAGCCTCATTCCTAGAGACTCACACCCTCCCCCTGGCCCCATGTTGCCTGCGTTCTCCTTCCTCCCCTCTGGCATGGCCTGCGACGGACGCAACGGCTTCTTCCTCCTGTAAGGAAAATGGACCCTTGGCCCATTTACTTTAGATTTTGGTGTTTGATGACCAACACAACCAAATTGGACTAATGAATTTGCAAGTGTTTGTTTTGTAATCCAATAGGGTGCAAGACGTGACTTGGACGAAGGCGACGTGATGATCCGATGATCAACACCTCAAGCAAGACTTTAGAAGCACAAGTGAAGACCCAAGAAATCAAGCAAAGTCTAAGCATGAAGATAGGAACCAAGCCGTACGCAAGATCACGAAGAAACGAGCTCGCAGAGACGGCCGGACTGACTGGACCGGACCTTTGGAAGCCTTGACCGGACCGCCGGACCGGTGGCTCGGCAGAGATATGGCGACGGACGGACACAAGGACCGGATGGCGGCAACTCGACCGGACGTAGGAACGAAGCGCCCAATCGAGTCAGAGAGGTTCTAGGCGCTGCTGAATCGCGACCGGACGCGTCCGTGCGAGCGACGGACGCCTGGAAGCGGCGTCGATCGGAGTTCGTTCAAGCGGTTAAAGAGTCGGGACGACGGACCACGCGTCGTCGGTCAGGGGCGATTCAGTGTCCGGTCGATGTGCAGATTTGCGGGAGTTCGACCCCAACGGCTACTTTCTCAGTGGGGCTTATAAATACAACCCCCAACCGGCCTTTTGAAGCGCGTGGAGCTAAGGAAACATAACAAGGGTGTTGATACACCATTTTAGTGATCTCCACTTGCTAAGTGCTTAGTGTTTCATCAGGTGATTAGCGTAGGTGCTTCGAAGTGCTTAGGTTGATTAGACCACCGCTTATGCGCGCTTGCTCTAGGTATATGCCTAGTGTTTAGTGAGGTTTGCATACCTCTTACCACCCCGTGCTTGCGAGCACAAGAGTTGTACATCGGAGGGCTTGAAGTCTTGCGAGATCGCACCAACCGCGTTTGTGGTGCGGCCGCCACCGTGTACCGAAGGGAACAAGGTCCGCGGCGTTTCGGCCGAAAGCTTGATAGTGAAGACGGCGGGGAGCATCCGGGAGAGGCTTGCCGGAAGGCACGTCGGAGACCCACTTACGCGTGGGGAAGGCCCGAGGCTATCCACGGAGTTACCCGACCGGGAGCTTGGCCCTTGCGAGGGGCTTCAACGAGGACTAGGGGGAAGCTTGCACGCTTCTCGATACCTCGGTAAAAATACCGGAGTCGTCGACGGGAGTTTGCATATCTCTACCTTACTCTTTAAGCTTCCGTATTTACATTGATCTTATTATTATCATTTGCGGTAGAGATAGCAACACACTAGCAAAACCGTAGTTGAACATCTAGATAGATTATCTTTTGCATAGGTTTTGCTAGAGGTAGAAAAAGAGGCCATAGTTAAGAGTTAAATTTTTAAGTTGCCTAATTCACCCCCCCCCCTCTTAGGCGTCCGCGTGTCCTTCACCTCCCTTCCGATGCACGTAGGCACGACGCAGGAGGTTCGAGGCAGGGCTTCACCCATGTGGCTCACGTTGCCCACACTCCAGGGCGGGCTCCCGGCGACAGACCTCGCGACAGCCACGCGATTCCCCATGCGGCTCCTTCCTTCCCCTTTGGCTCCCTCCGGCATGGATCCCATGGCTCCCTCTCTCCCCTCCTGCTCCCTCCAGCAGTGCCACTGGCTCCTTCCCCTCCCTCTACTGCGCCCTTCGGTGGCCCTTCCCCTCTCTCCCTCCGGTGGTCCTTCCTCCTCCTCTAGCGGCCCTTCCCCAGCCCTTTGCTACGTGGGCACGCCAGCCCCCGCAACTCCGACGCAAGGGGGGGCGAGCGCAGGCCAGATCCACCAATCCCTGTACAGAGGAAGAAGAAAAAGGAAGAAGGGAGAGAGAATGACAAGCGGGTCCCATTTGTCATTGTCTAGTGAAATAGATTTGGTGCTGCTACTGAAGTACAAGCAGAAAACTGAGCCAATAAAAATAGGGGGAAAGCACCCAAATTTGATTTAGGAGCACTGATCTTGGTGCCCATGCTTTGGAGTTGCTCTAAGGGCTTCTCCAGTTGCCAACTCGTCGTCCTACGTGGAAGGGCCAAAGCGACTCGTTAGACTGTCTCCAACTACCGCGACCCAAAATACAATACCCATTTGTTCTTTGTGTAGCGCTACAGTCAAAGAGTTCAATACCTATTTTTAGTCTTCTCCAACAACAAGACCCAAAAGACAACCCTTTCTGCAAATGGATCTTCAGGAGAGATGATACTTAGATTTATGTTATATCTCTTCTAACACCTAAAATAAATATAAATAGTGTGTTGAAGACCCATTTTAACGGATCTCCCGTTCGAGACAGCCTTACCGCTACAGAAATCGGTGCATCGCGAGGGGAGAGAAGAATCGACATGTATTTGGGAGTCGACTCTGGATAAAAAACAGCGCATGCGTACTAGTCGGAAGCCGGCACCGCTGCCCTCGTACGCTCTCACGAATTAAAAACGAGCACAGGAGGTTGGGAAGGAATCTGGAATGATTATTTTACTTTGTATGCGGCCCCCGGTACTTTTGGCTTGAGAGTCGACTCTCCAGTTGGATTACTTGGCTCTCTATCTGTCAGATTGAACCGACCCACCACTACGGCTGTCCTAAGGGATTCTTTTCTTTTTTGAGATGGAAATTCCAAGGGGATTTGGTAGCATAGCTCTTAAGAAAAAAAACAGCCGGGAAGAGCTGGACAAGTGTCGGGCAGGTGCACTCATCGAGCTAGCATCGCTAACGAGAGGAGGCTACTCAGCATTTCCGTCACTGACCACGACGATGTGCGGTGCAGTGCAATGAACAGTGAGTTGGGCTCGTGCAGACTTCCATTCGCAGGACACTATTAGGGATCAGGTATGGCTGGGCCATCATGTGGGTCTAGGCTTGCTATGGCTAGGTCGTCGCATGAGCCCAGTTCAGACTCTGCCTGGATGAAAGCCTACAAAGACAAGAGAGCAGGAGCAGAGTAGGTATCGAACAAATTATCTAACAGAATCCTTCTTCCTCAAGTTATTGTTCATCTTCCTCCCCAACTCTCTCTTCCTCTCTGTACTCTGCTTCTCTATCCCTCGCTAATTCTAGACCTCCCTCTCCCTGAGGTCTTGTATCCCTGCTACTTGATTCAAGTTATCTGCTAGTCTTCGCCGCGCAGTTTGTCTCTGCCACCAGCAGCGCCGCGCTGCGCACCCGCAGGCACAACAACGAGCTGAAGAAGAGCACGCGGAGCACCACCCCACGTCCAGCAGCATCGACGGCCCAACCCTGCAGGCGCCGACGCTCGCCTCGCCGGACTCGTCCATCCCTCGCCGCGACCGCTGGAGGTCCAGGAGGTGAACAAGCACTTCATCCGCAGCTGCGCGCTCCACCCAGACCTTGAAGCCGGCGACGCCCTGCGCCCCGAGTGCCCTCACGAGGTCTGCATCATCTCGGGCGTCACCTTCGACCCACGCGACGTCGACACCGACCACAGGCTCAATGGCTCGCTGGACGCGCTCCTCCGTGGCGCGCCCGGCCTCGTTCTCCTACCACCACCACAGGATGCGGCAACGGCTTCACCAATCCCTACTCCAGCACTAGAAGCATCCTCGCTGGTCCTGGCTGCTGCTTGGAGCAAGTCAGTTGCTCCCTCCGTTCATGCAGATAGTCCTGCATCAGTCATCACACTACCGCCCACCAAGTGTTCGATGCAAGTTCGCAACAACTTTGAGTGCAGGGTATCAACATCTACAGCTGTGAACACTCCTAGGAAGGTTGACCAAATGCTGAAAAGGTACATCACAGACTTTACCCATGCATACTCCATTGGCGTTGTCATGCTCTATTCGGCATCCGAGATACATGGTGTTCAGAGGGTGTTTGGGAAATTGATCATTCAGTGCCCGGTGCCGTTCTGGCCGTTCTCAGCTCCAGTGGTAGTCAAAGCGCCATGGTCGCCATTTATGTTGTTTGAGATCAAGGGTGATGCAGTCCATCTCAGTCCAATCCCTTGGCCATTTTTCTGTGGTTATGCAGCCCCTGTGCACTTGAAGACATCACTCTCAGTTAATACTATGCTTGCAGACTCCACACAGCTTTGTTTTGGTTTATGGTCGCCGTTCTATTTATGTTGGTTTGCTGTGCAGAGTAGTGGAAGTGTGGTGCAAATCCTTGTGTGGCCAATCCTTATGCATGAGAATTCAGCTGCTAATATGGAGCATTTTCCGGTTTCAGTTCAGCATAAGGGCAAATCGTTAAATCCTCATGCAGTTTTTCACATGCCGTTAACTGTCCTTTATGTGGTACAAATTTCTATGGATGCAGCAAGGAGAAGGTGCTTTCTATTTTGCTGGTGATGTCCAAGCGTACTCTATCATACATGGTCCATAATGAGCTATGGCTGCGAGATTATGTTTCTATCTTTGCTTCTGGTTGCATGTCTTTGTGGCCATCGTGGGTGCAGGGAGACAATCAACACCAACCATGGCTTGTTGTAAAAAAAACACCAACCATGGCCACCACCTGCAGAACTGAGGTTGACAATTTATGCTGCTGAGCTAGGGCCTATACAATGGCCGTTGTTTGATATGCTTGAGAGGTTCTCTATCATGTGCCAGCCCAGTCAGATCTGGAAGCCCCCATGGCATGTACCACTTCAACAAGAAACCATCAAGCTGTAGCCCTCTCAGATAGTGGATGTCTTTGGTCAGAAGATACCCGAAACATCAGCCTGGCATCTGGAACCCGCATGGCTAGTATGCACATTCCCACTAGAGTCAAGGCAACAAAAATGGGCTGGTGCTTCCACAAAGCATATCTGCAGTTTAAGAGCTCTATGCATTGGTCAGGGTCTGTATTCAGAACACCAGTTTCTGCAGTTTGCTTAGGATCCCGGTGCTTCCATACTTCTCCATCGGCTTGGGGGCAAGCCGAATCTCAAGGAGAGGGGAATGTTAGGGATCAGCTTTGGCTGGGCCGTCACGTGGGCTTGGGCTTGCTATGGCTAGGCCATTGCATGAGCCTAGTTCAGACTATGCCTGGATGGAAGCCTACAAAGGCAAGAGAGCAGGAGTAGAGTTTCAACATGACTTATCGACTTGTCGGATCAGCGCCTACACACTGCCTGGCAACAAAAAGTGTTCACCAAGCTTACGGGTCTCGATGCCGCATCGATGTATAAGCAGAGACCGACAACCGAGTAGCCGATGCAATCATCACGCCGTGGTCGGTGGAGGAGTTAGCACCGCGTTCGCTCCGGTTCCCTTGTGGCTCGAGGAGATCAAGTCCGGCTATTCTTCCGATCCCAAGTGCCAAGAGTTGTTATCCAAGCTAGCAAAGTGTCACCGATGTTGAGCTTAATTTCTCTCTGCAAAGAAGGACTGTTAAAATACAAAGGGTGCATTTGGGTGGGTTTTGACATGATCTTGCAAAGAAACTCATTGAAGCATTTCATGCATCTCCGGTGGGAGGGCACTCAGAGTCTTGGTTACTTATCAACGTATCAAACGTTTATTCGCGTGGCGAGGACTCAAGGTCATTGTGCATCGGCTTTGTGTTGTCTTGTCCAACATGCCGGCCAGGCAAAAACGATCGCGCCAAATACCGAGGCTACTCCAACCGTTACTGCTCCATCCATGGCTTGGCAAAGCATTTCAATGGATTTTGTCGAAGGCTTTCCATCTTCCGGTGGCAAGAGCGCATTACGGTCATCGTGGATTGATTTTCCAAGCACGGGCATTTCATCCCTTTATCCCACCCTTTTATAGCACTCCTTTGTGGCCAAGTCATTTCTCACCAATGTCTATCGCCTCCATGGCCTCCCTACCTCGATCGTCTCGATCGTGACCAAAGGTGTTCACAAGTAAGTTCGGCGGGAGCTGTTCCATTTAGCCGAGTCACATTGAAGATGTCTTCGCTTACCACCCCCAAACCGACGGGCAAACCGAATGTGTCAATCGGTGCTTGGAGACATTTTTGCTTGTTGCTTTGTCGATTCTTCACCGTCAAATGGCTTGATTGGATTTACTTAGCGAGTATTGGTATAATACTTTGTGGCATTCTTCCCGGGGCACTTTCGCCGTTCTTCGTCCTCTATGGTCATCATCCCGGGCATTTGGTGATGGTGCGAATCGATGATGTTCGACCATTTCATTGGATGATTGGCTACAGGAGAAATCTCGATGAACACATTGATTCAAACAACACCTCACCCGAGCTCGAAGCGAATGAAGTCTCAAGCCGACAAGTCGTGCTCGAACGCCGATTTGTAGTTGGAGATTGGGTGTACCAAGCTATGACCCTATGTCCAGCATCCCTCGCGCCCGCAGCGCTAACCAAAATTGGCTTTCAAGTTCTTTGGTCCATTTCGGTGGTGTCTCGCGTTGGCAATGTCGCCTACAAGCTATCGCTTCCGCCACGTCGACTATCCACCCCGTCTTCCATGTGTCTCAACTCAAGATGGCGGTTCGAGTTCGCACATGGTGTGCGCACTTCCTCCGGCTCTTGAGGGCTTGCAAATTCCATTGAAGGTGCTACTGACGACGTGTATGTTCATCGAGACAACTCCATCGTTCCTCAAGTCCTCGTCCAATGGTCCAATCTACCTCGATCTTTGGCCACATGGGAAGATTTGGAGGCACTCAAGCGGCGTTTTCCTTAGGCTCTGCTTGGGGACAAGCGGTCTCTCGTCGGGAAGGGATGTCGCCGGCTCAAGATCCGAGAATGTGACGCGGTCATCACCGAAGCTGGGCGTGCCAGACACAAACCAGACATGGTCACCACCGAGTCCGGCGCGATCGGGACAAGGCGAGGGAACCGCGACCGGACGCTTCGAACGTGCTCATCGGCCGGACCGGAGACCGGAGGGCGTAAATCGAGGCTAAGCCACAACTCTGCGCCTATGGGGTTCACGCCGGGCCATGCCCAGATAAGAGGGAAAACACGAGAGCGAGAGGGCTAACTATTATCACAACCAAATCGATACTAAGCTTCCTCCGCCTACTATCGTATGCGTGTTCTTCCTTCCTTCCTTTCTTTCTCCCCAATTCTTCCCAATTCTACCTGAATTCTTCCCTCCGATCTACGATGTTAACGAGGATCCATCTCACCTGTCACCCTCCCACCTAGGTGCTTTGAGTCTTTGGGTGTGGCATGCACCGAGGACCGAAACACAACTCCATAGCGGCATGCGCGTGCATCGCTTATCTACCACCGCTCGCTCACGATTCAGGCTTTGGTCAACCGTCCTCTCCCCCGCCCCGCCTCCCCGATTCGGTTTCCTAGGTGCCCCTATGCACTTCATCGATCCCCCCCCCCCCCCACACACACTTCTCTCATTCTATTCCAAAGTCACGGTTCCTAGCTCTGGTGTTGTACTATTTTTTTTCTTTTTCCTGTTCCATTCTCTTCCTCCTCCCGTTTCTTTCTTCGGAGACTCCACCGTCGCCCACCCCCTACTGATGCACCGACCGTCGAGCGAGCCCCGCAGCGCCGGCCGGTTCACCTCGTCGGCCTACCTCCTTCTGCACTGTTGTGTTCCTGCCTCCACTGTCCACCCCACTGCCCTTCGCTCATGGCCGCGTTGAGTCACATCACATGCACGAGCCTTTGAGCTTCGTCGCGCTGGCTCGCACACCTTGGCCTCCAAACCAATTGGTTTCTCAGCTCCAGCAGCCCGTGTACGTCATGATGGGTGGCATGAGCATGAACCTCCAGGAAAGCTTGCATGGTTGCACTGGGAGGGAGATCTCATCTAGGCCAAAGGGAGAGCTCTGTTGGATTTCTTTTAGTCATATTCATCAGATTGGGATATTTTGCATAGGAATAGAATACATGTTCAAGATTTGCATGAGAGGCAGAGAGAAGGGGAGTGAGAGGTAGCAGACCATCGAAGGTCGTAGTGGTCGAAGCACCAGCCGGGGTCTCGTTTGTGGACGCCATCTCTGTATTTGGCGATGATGTTCGGTGGAGAGGGAGAGTCGGTGCGATGCGTCTCTCGGCGGCGACGTGCGTCATGGTGGCGTTGCCGGCGTCGGTGGTGCTTCCATGCGGTGCGCCTTCTCAAGATCAGGTTAGGGTTAGGATATCGGTGGGGTGACTGGCGGCGCGGTGAACCTCGTACTGCGAGCCCCGGCCCCCACCTTTCCTTTATAGCGTTGTGCGACAGGGGCCCACCAACCATGTAGGGTTGGGCGCCCCCGATCAGGGCGCTAGAACAAGGCCCAAAAAGATCGTTGGGCCTAACTGGTGGGAGATCAAACCTAACATTCTCCCCCTTGATCTCTCATCTATTCTTCGTTCTTTAATTTCATACTCAAAACTTTCAATTCATATTTTTCTTGCTTCCATCCTATTTCATCACAGATTAGTGCATAGAACTGTCCCATCGTCACAGCAATTAGTGTCGTTAGATACACTTCTCCGTTTTGAAATGTAAACTTTCTCTGGGCCCTTCGTATGTTCGGGAATCATAAGCTTTCCCTTAAACCCATGCCGGCTACGTATTCTCTGAACACGTTGGGTGGTAAGCCCTTTGTGAGCGGATCCGCGAGCATTTTCTCTGTACTTATATGCTCAAGATTTATTATATGATCCCGAACTTTATCTTTCACAATATAGTACTTTATGTCAATGTGTTTGGCGGCACCACTTGACCTATTGTTGTGAGCGTCTTTGCATCATTGGATTGTTATCACTATACAATCTCGATTGGTTCATTTATATCATCAATCACTTTCAATCCGGGTATGAATTTCTTCACCAATTCACACCGCCATGTTGCCTCATAGCATGCTACAAACTCGGCATACATTGTCGAGGATGTGAATTCTGGTTTGTTTGGAGCTTTTCCACGATATAGCCCCTCCTGCGAGAGTAAATACATATCCGACGTGGATTTTCTTTCATCTCTCCGCATAATCGAATCTGAATACCCCTCTATCTCGCAGGGTATCGGATCTTCTATATGTAAGCATGAGGCCTTTCGTACCCTACAAATAACGTAGGACTTTCTTCACTAATTTCCAATGTTCAATTCACGGATTCTTTTGATATCGCCAGTAACCCGGTAACAAAAGCTAAGTCGTATGTGTACACTTGAGCATATTGTAAACTTTCAACAGCTGAAGCATATGGTACCGCTTTCATTTAGTCAATTTCATATTGGTTCTTGGGACACTGATGTTCCCCAAACCTATCGCCCTTGACTATAGGAGCGGGTGAAGGACTGCACGCATGCATACTAAATTTCTTCAGGACCTTTTCTATGTATGCCTTTTGCGATAATCCTAGAACCCCTTTTCTCATGTCTCGGTGAATCTCTATTCCCAAAACGAACGAGGCCTCACCGAGATCTTTC